TAAATTTTCACTGTCTCAAAAGCACTCCATGTTTCAATTACACAATACTCCCCACAAACCAGGAGAGCGTGTAAAAAGCAACTGCTACTGGGTGACTAAAACACATTCCATCTAAATGATAAGAAACAATTACAGCTTGTCATTAAGAGATGCAATTTGACTTTACGACCTTTGAACCATCCATAGATGAAGTTTTATCATCATCACTCATCTGGCCCAAAAATACCAGTTTACTGTACTGTTAAGGAGCTGTGCTTACAGGAGAAGGAATCTCAGAAGTAGTTCAGCTTTTCCCAATATAGCACCTGTGCTAAGGGCTTCTGCCAACACAGTGTCAGTCACAGATCACACACTTGGCCAGTGCTTCGATGCCAAGAGAATCCTCTGGTGCAGACACAGCCTGGGAAAAAAATGTGAGGCCTGTGCAGCAGGTAAAAGAAAAGCTTGAACTACATGCAAAATAGTAACAAGTCAGAATAAAGAATAAGGAAGATTTCAGAACTTACATACTTTTAGAGAACAAAGAAAAAAATTCAAGTTCTTGTCTTCAGAAACAATGATCAGAACATCAAATGGATACAGGGGCTGATTTAATGAAAAGCACAAAACAGTATGTGTCCTAAGTTACATTTATGAGTAAAAGAATAGTTAGCTGACACAGCTGTTGGTAGCAGATTCATTATTGACCTATGTGTTTTCCAAAAGATTTTCCTCTGTATTTCAACTGTGAAATGAATTACTGGCTCTTATTCACTGTGCAGACTTGTATGTGAAATCCAAGTGAGTTACAAAACATACCTCATCACGTTAGAAAGGCAGATTATTACAATACAGGCAGTTTCACAAGTGAAGCATCTGCAGTGGTTGTATTTTCAATCATGGGTCTAATTACTAATATCTGTAACTAATAAAATATGAGAGGAAACATGAAATCTACATGGCATCACTGCTTTGGATATGAGCAACAGGAAGACAATCCTCCACACACATATAAAGCAGTCCTGGGAACTTGCAGCCACATTTATTTTCCTGATGCAGCCAGGAAATATTTTGACCAGCTAGACAATTATCTCATGTAATCAGACAAATCTGATAACTTCTGCAACTTTCCTAAGCAACATCTCTCATTTCTTTACAGTGAAAGCAATGATACTCTTCAAGAAACTTTGCATCGGGTCACACCACTCAACTTATCCTTAAATACATAGAGCCTTCTAGTAGTTCAATTTCTGGAGCAACACACAATTATTTTAAATCAAGTGCTACGTAAGTGTTTAAAATGTTTTAAGTGCTTCCTTCCTACAACTGCAGAATGACTACAAACCCCTGGATATTGCTGGAATTCAGAAACACAGTTAAGAAACCCAGAGTGAACACACGAACAGGGAAGTCACTGCAGGAAGACAAAGGTCAGGAGCAGCCTGCAGACCTGCAGAGCTCACACGCAGCAAGCACACTCCCATAAATATGCCAGATGCTGCTTTCAGCCACGAGCTGTACACAATCTGAATTTGTCCTCTGTACACAACTTCTTCAGTATTGTTTGGTGCCCAGGAAGAACAAATCACTGCACTCAAGTAATTGCCTCAAGGTCCAGCAAAGGTTCTACAGCTTACTGTGCTTTCAGGAATGCCTGAGAGAAGCTGTGATTCACCAGCTGGGGAAGCTGCCACCTTCCTCACCGCTCCCATGTGCGCTGCCACTGCCCGCCCAAGCGCCTCAATCTGCATCACTCAAACCACCAAGGTTAAAACGGACTTTTTCCGGCCTCTGAGAGGTGATTCTTTTTCTCTCCTAATAATTTCAGCTGGGAACCTTAAACTGTCTGACAGTTCAAAGCATTTTGGGTGATACACAAGAACAGGAGAAGAAAATGCAGTACAGGACATTCTTATAAAGCCAATCAGTTTGTCAAAGCCATTACTTTAAACATGCTTGTCAACTGCAACCTCACCTCAGTAAAGCTGCATGACTGGCAAGGTAGATCTGGGACTGCAGACGTGCAGAAAGTGCATCTTAGAGCCATTTTTTTCAAATACAGATATACAAGAGAACAGAGAACCATAGATCCAATCTGGACTCCAATCTTACATGTTGTCCTCGAGTTCTTGCACAGCCCATTTTAGCTGAAAGTTCTCAGAATGGTAATTTACAACAGCATAAATGTATGTTGAGAGCATGTCTACTTAGTTAAACTCTACACTTTGAAGTCTCTGCTATGTAAACTGTGAGACTTCTGTATTTTCATGGAACATACTATTCCATTTCAAAACAATCTTGATTGTGTTTTCTTTCTACTCTGCTGTATCCAGCATCTCACACACAAGAGATCCCAGATTTCCTTTTCAAAACACTATTTCTGAAGGAAACTTACCCCTCAGCAGCACAAATCCAAGCTCAGGCACTTAATGAGAAGTTGCATTTGGCAATGCCTGATCTTGGAACAAACTACTTCCAATCCTTCTGCAGCAAGGGCAGAACCACAACCACGAATGCCTGGCTAAGAGCTCTGTGGGTCACACAGGTTGACCACAGGAAGATGTGGAGGTCTGGGACCATGTCCAACCAAGGGTGACAAACGTGATTTAAGGGACCGAAGCATCATCTCTCACGGGAGCAAAACTTAAAGGAGAACGGCTTGGTCAGCCTTGAGAAGGGATGGCTGAGAGGGGACCTCATCAATATCTACCAACATCTGGAGGAAATATGCCAGGAGGATGGGTCCAGGCTCTGCTCGGTGGTGCCAAGCAATGGGACAAGAAGCAATGGGCAGAAGCTGACGCACAGAAGTTCCACGTGAACACGAGGAAGCATTTCTCTACGTGCAGTGGCCGTGCACCGAACACGCTGCTCAGGGACGGCGTGGAGTCTCCCTCGCTGGGGCAATTCCAGACGGTCCGGACACAATTCTGTGCCGTGTGCTCTGGGATGCCCCTGCCCCATTGCGGGCCCTCCGAGCTGCCCGGCGTGTGAGCCCGTGACCCGGCGGGCAGAGCCCGGCCGGGATGCCCCGGGCCCCGTCCCCTCAGCCGCCCGGCGCTCGCTGGGACCGGCGCCCTGACGGCGCTTTCGGCCGGGCTGCGGGGCCGCCGGGCCATCCCGCGCTGCTCCGGCCGCCGGGCCCCGGCCCCGCCGCTCCCCGCTCACCATCTCCTCGTGCCCGGGCCCGTCGGGCTGCCCGGAGCCGCCTTCGCCGCCGGGCCCGGGGCTCGCCCGCCCCTCGGGCGTCTTCCGCTCCCTGTCGCCCTTCCCGCGCCGCGCCGCCCGCCGCCCCCACAGGTACACCGCGCCGGCACCCAGCAGGATGGGCGCGCCCAGCACCAGCGCCAGCTGCCACCGGGACAGCCCGGCGGGGCCGCCGCCGGCGCCCGGCGCCTCCACGGGCTTCGAGGCGGCCATGACGCCGGGAGGAGCAGAGCAGGAGCAGGAGGAGGAGGCGGCGGGGAGGAAGGGCCGGCGGACACGCGGGGCGCGCCGGGAGCCGCGCCGCGCCCGCAGCGCCCCCTGCCGGCGCGGAGGGGCCCCGCGGCCGCGTGGCGCGGGCCGCGCCCCGGAGCTGTGGGGCGGGAGCGGCGGCGGGAGCGGCGGCGCGGAAATCCCACCGGAACGCGGAGGGGTTTCCTAACTGCAGTGACCGAGCACTGAACGGGCTGCCCAGAGAGGCGCTGGAGTCTCCCTCACTGCGGTACTCCCGACCTGTCTGGAGGCAACCCTGTGCTCTGGGACGGCCCTGCCTGAGCGGGGAGTTGGACCAATGTTCCACTGTGCCCCTTCCAGCCTTACCTGGCTGATTCTCTAACTCTGTCAAGTTTCAGCTAATGTGCCTGATTCGGACTTTCTAGGACTTCTTACATAAGAGTTTTGGAGCAATCCTTGTTATACATGAAATCTTTATGTTTTCTTCCCAATTATCAATTGAATCTGTCATAAAAATAATTTTATATGTAATACTGGGATTTTGTTCATGCGTGTGTCTATGCCTAGTTAAAATCCTTACCTGTAGGCAGAGGAAACTTATGTTCCTGTCTCCACTTTCCGTGGAGCACTCAGCTGGAGTTGAGTCGTTTTTGATATGTTTTCACAATCAGCTCCTGTCATCTCATGCCTGGAAATCTCATTGTACGTAGGAGGGAAATGTGAGAAGACACATATTGCACGGAAGAAAAAAGGGCTGCAAATATAAACAACAATAAGATTGCAAAGCAAACACCTCATGAACACAACTAAAATTTGCCTTGCTGCACTCTGAGTCAGTGTGTCTGTGTGCCTGGTAGTAAACAACTTGAGAAATGTCCTTTAATTGCGGATTATTACTATTTTTGTAAGCATATTTGGACAAAGCTGTGGGACAGCCCCTCTCCCTGTTCTCCCTGTCACCTCACAACAGAAAATACATATCCAACAGGTCAGTAGCTCCTGCAATTGGCAGCCTCAATCCCACCCACATCATGCTTTGGACAGGCCTTCACGTGTGCCATGCCTGTACAGATGGGTGGCCTCCAGGGTGTAAGTCAAACTGGGCTGTTTGAGTATGGCCAGGAGTGCCTTTCCCCACCTAGAAAATCAGCCTACACATCATTGCTTCAGGTGTCCTCTGTTTTGCAGGTGTTCCTCTTGCTCCAGTCCGGGCTGCTGCAGGCATGGCTGTGTCCCCGAGCTCTCATACTGAACATCTGAGGAGATGCCATCTGCACACCCATGTACTCAGGTCCCTGTGCTGATCACAGGCTTTCCTGCCCTGGACAAAGTAAAATTGGCACACAGACATCCATGACCAACCATTCCCCTCACCTATATTATGGAGAATAAACAGCCCCACATGTACTTACACTTCACACCTACAACCCCATTAATCAAACTGGAGTTTTGTAGCTACATCTGAAGGTCTAAACAGATTGGGGAAAAGGTTTAATGCTGGACCATTGAATCCTTGTAATGTCAAATTACCAGCAAGCTTTTTGGCATATTTCTGGCCAAGACAAACCAGCATCTCCACAGCAATGCCCGGGCACCAGAAGAGTGCCAGCACGCACCAAGGTTTGCTTCCAGTAAGAAGGTTAGGGTTGGATTTGGGTCCTTCTTCCCATGCACCATCCCAACAGGCTCTACAGCCTTAGAGCCCTGGTTGCCCTCCTGCCAGGCCCCAAAGCACAGGACACATCTTCCACTTTCATACCATGCAGACAAAAGTTTAATGGGCCACAACAGTTTTTGTGTTATAAAAGAGATTTTGAAATAGAGGAGACACAAAAATGACAACCAAGTATTACAGGCACAGTGCAGTAATTAGAGTGCAGAGCCTCGAGGAGACCCTCAGCCCAGCCACATGAAGGGTACATGTGGTCAGTTCAGACACTCGGTCTGAGGGCCAGAAGTCATGCCCTGTTCTGTGGTCTAGCTGAGGCTGTATGGCTCACACCCAGGGCTGGTGAGGAGGGGCCAGCACATCTTTACCCCGAGTGCATTCAGGCGAGGCAGGGCCTCCCATACATATGGCAGATGAAATTACTCAGGTGAAAAGCACTCTGCGCTCTCTGTCCTAACCCAAAAATTAATGAGCAGTTGCTTCAGGAAGGGTTTCTGCCTAGGCAGATGATGTTTCTGGAGCACTGAAGGAAGAGCAGAGGCAGCAGAAGTTAGGAGGGAGAAAGCAGCAGGGGAAGAGCAGGCCATTTGTACTCCCTCCCACAGAGCCAGCTAGGTCTCTGCAAGCAGCTGTGCCAGCTTCTGACCAGCATCAATATGTCAATTCTGCTTCTCAAAAATCACAAGCCTGCTTTGGGTCTGCCCCCCGCAGGCATGTAACTGTGGGCAATTCTGCATTGGTATTGACAGCTGGGGCACTCAGCAGCAGCACAGGCAGCAGCCACTGCCCTGCCACCCACCCCCTGCAGCAGTGTCATATTGGACATCGCTGCAACGGAAAGGTTAAAGGAAACCTTGTTGAAAAGAGATGAGAAAGGGCTGACTTTATGTTTAGACAGTGCCTGGGGCTGCAGTGGGACAGGTTTCGGGGAGGGAGTGCAGAAAGAGTGGTTGAAACCGTGCATCTGCTTCCTCTTGTTGGCAGAACAGTGTGAGGCTACTGGCTGGGTGGTGGAATTTGACCTTGCTTTGCCTTGTCTGGCTGGGAGACCCCCCCAAGCTTGGAGCACCTGTACATGGAATATGATGAGGATGATGATATTTTCTTTGCAAAATGGATGAGCAGCTTCTGGGGCCACAACTTGATTGATGAGGAGAAAGAAGGCAGAGGCCACAAGAAACGTCAGGCACAGCCCTGTAGTGAAAGGAGAGCATCCCTACCGGTAAGAGTTGTGTGCAGCTTTCTCTGTGTGTGCACGTGGTGTTTGTATAAACGTAAGTTCCATCCCCAGAGGCACGGCCCTAGGGGTGTATGAGGAATATGGGACACCTTGCCAAGTAAATTCAGATCCTGCTGGCAGCTGCTGGTTGCTTTTTGAGCTTAGCTGTCTGACAGGGTCAAGCCTCTGGGGTTCTGGAATATAGAACACTGGCAAACTCCAAGCTAGCTGTGTATTACAGTGTTGTTCTGGCGGCTCAGCACAACCTGGCAGACATCAAAACATTTTGCACCTGCATACATAAATCTGCCTGTAACAAGTCCGTCTTCTTGTGAAAAGCTGTATGTGAAAAATTCCATATGTATTAAAAGGATTTGGACCTAATTATGCAACTGTATTGTCTCCAGGAAGTTTTACCCTTTACCCCTTGGGACTTACCTGTTTTCAGGTAAGTGAAACTTCTATTTTAAGCTAGAGGATGCAGTCCCTCCTGTTCTAAAACATCTGGCTCTGAAAACAGTGATACAACACATAACAAGCTTACTAAATGGTGAAGTAAGATTTTAAGGTAGAAGTACATTCTTCATTCTTAAAACAGTAAGGAAAGGGGCAGGTTCGTGTGCAAAGGCAGCTCACAACTGTCTAAATGATTATCAAAATCAGGTTAAACTGAAAACTGTTCATAGTCTTCTCTTAATGCAAAGATTGTTGCTTTCATTTCAGCTTTTAAAAGAACTGTGGTCCAAACCTGTCTCCTTTTTTTTTCCAGCTACGTCAGCTGTCTTAACAAAGGTACTATGTTTCCTTACAGACCATTTTTTACTTATATCCTGAGATCATGATGGCTGCAATGAAGCAAATGGTAATATATTGGGGAGGAGCAGCTAACCTTTTCCAAACATTTTTTTTGTGCCATTCTATGTTTCTAACTTGCAAGCTCTTCTCTGCAGCTGTAAGGTCCTAAGCTGTGGGATTTTTCATTTCCAAAAAAAACTGGCTAAGAAAAACCAATGAGTCCAAAGCCACTTCCTCCCTCTTTGAATTCGTGGACAGGCTGGAGAGATAACCTTCATTTATAACTTCTGGTCAGATCAGCCACATTTGTTATTTACTTTTATATTTCACCTCAGCCACAGATTGCAAGACAGGCTCTGAGCTAGAGCTTTGCTGCTGTATTACATCAAAATGCTGAATACATAACATTTATTAATGGGAGAGGAAGGAGGTTAAATAATTTTACTGTATTTTACTTTTTTTCACTCAAGATACATGTATATGTGATTTCTTTTGGCCTCAAGAGAAACTGGAGTGTAAGAATTTAAATCTCTTTCCATTCAGCAAGGTGCTGAACACATCTTGTATATTTGTGTCTGTATTAGCATGTCCTTATATTCCATTTGCTCAAAAGCTATTTAAATAGTTAATAGTTATTCAAATACTTGGCTATATTTGCTTTCCTGAATCCATACCTAGAATTCAGATTAAGTTAGCTGAGAGAAAGACTATGACTTTTTTATTTTACTGTTTAACGAGCTAAAGATATTGTGTATACTTAATTGTATCTGACATTTACATTAATGCTTCACATAAATTAGTCTTGCTCCACTGGTTTCATATAGAAGATGTAAATTTTAACTGCTTTATTTCTCAGTGTCAAATGTTGACTGGAGGAATGAGACAGGAGGATTTGTCTGGAGATTTTATAATTTGGGGATATATTTTGAAATGAACTCTTGATTGGGAAGTTGAGTAGTTGGTAGTAAAGAGCAGTAGTATGCATTGTCTAACCAAAGCCAGAAGTTAAACAAATGGGCTCTACTGATGCCTTGGAAATACCTTCAGAAAGCATCTCCTTGTTGAGAGCAGTCACTTGAGAGCTATTGCACCTGCATATGGTGTTTTTGCACAGCTACTCCAAATTATAACTACTAAGATTAATTATTGCAAATTATAACTGTTGTAAGATACAAAACACTGGTACTGTTATTTAAATATTGTCTTCATTTTATCAGAACAGTGCTAATTATCAGGAGGAATAATAACTGAGATCAGAGTGCATCTCTTCTGAAAGCTAATACCTCCACAGCAGGCCACAGTGTACCCTTCCTTCTGTCTCAGCATTGAAAACTGAGATAACTCCACCATCTAGGTGAAAATCAAGTCAGCAAGTTCTGACAGCTGTTGGGAAAAGCTCCTTGTGCAGGTACAGTGGTACTGGCAAAGGAGCACTGCCAGCTCATACCCAAGGCTGGTGTTCAGGACATCAGCAGCAGAGCAGTGCTGCCCATGGGAGCTCTTCAGCACCATGAGCCTCTTGGTGCCACAAAGCAAAGTGCTCTCAGGGTAGCACAAAAGGTGGTTCTGCTGGGAAAATCACTTTCAGCTCCAAACTGCTGTGTTGGTCTCTAGTTTTTCCTGTGCTGTAGTGAGACATTCAAGCCACTGCTCCCACCTCAAAGACAAAAATAAACTCCTGTGGTATCCTAGAGTGGTACAGCCCCCACCCTAACTGTGGATAAAGATTTGAAGAATAACACCCAAACTAACAACAGTTTTCATTTTTTTCCCCCAATATCTTTGTATACCTCACAAACTCTACTGAGATGAGCTTTGCAAAATGCTTTTGCTATTGTCATTCACACTTTGCAGAGGGGAACACAAAATGATATTCATCCTTCACGGGATCACTTGCAAGTCAGGCTAAAACACGTAACTCCAGTCTGTCAGGCTGAAACAACATGCAACTCCACTGTCCTGGAAAGCTCAGAGCTGTGTATGCTGCTGCAGGCCAGCCCTGAATGTAAAACCTGCCTGGGGATAATAAGTCAGCTGTTTCCATCTCCTTTATTTAACTTGTTCCCCCGGCAAACTTTAGACAAATTATCTGTGGTACCCTTTTTGAAGCCTCCAGCTATGACTTTCCCTGACACATTCTAGTTACCCTACATAATTTAGGTTCAGAACACATCTTACCTCCCAGACATTTGGTTGTAAGGAAAAGATTGGAGACAAAGGAGAACTGATAAGAAGCTGACAACCCTGTACATGTATCCACCTTCAAATAGACATTATTGCTCACAGGAGAAAATTGCCAAGAGTGGCTGAGAGAAGGAGCAGAACAAATGACTGCTGTTGAAGTTACTGGCATTTAATTTAAACTGAACATCTACCACAATATTGTTCCTATAGACCAATTGAAGGCCAGACCAAAACATTTTAAAGAAATATATACTTGTCTGTAAGCTTCTCAGAAGGAAATGAAGCCATGGGAGAGCATCTGAATGTCAGATGTTCCAAAATATCCCTAAAATACTCGGGTCATTGTGTAAACTCCAGCAAACAATGAACACTTGTGCTGACACATTGAAGATTAATGTTCTTACTGACAGCTGTGCAAGCTCTCAGATCAAGCCCAAAAAATGTAAACAATTAACTTGTCTACAACAGAAACTGAGAAAGAGATAAGGCAAATTATACTGACAACAATTTTTGTTGTGTGAAGTATTTTTGTTTGTGTACCTTTTGTGTGTTTCAGATGGGCAATTAGCAGAAGACTATCTGTTTTGTAAATAGATATACTGAACATGAATGGCATTTACCCAACACAGAAGAAAGGAGTACTAATGGGAATAACAAATAATCCCCGAGATCCCTTGGTGCTTCTATCTTTCCCAGCACTGGCAAAAAATTCCCATTTTGATAGTGGAGAATTTAATGTATCATGCAAAAGCACTGTGAGAGAAAGCACAGTCACTGTAATATGATTGCTTTACCCTTAGCCCACTGAGGCAGATGGGCATTTCAGAGGAAAGCTTGTCCCTTTTCTGGACCATTGCTGCCATATCGGTAGGTAAACTGCAGTTTTTTTCTTAAGGGCTTAACTGTAATTCTATTTGTGAAGGGAAATGAAAAAGTAATGTCTTAGTAAAAGAAAACACTTACAGTCTTTGGATTCTATCAATCTTTTTTTGCAGTCCCCCATTTCAGCTGTTGTCCTGTGTTTGGTTTGTGGTTTTTTTTTTTCCCAAACCCTCTAGGTACAGATAGCAGTGATTTTTACCATGAGACAATTTTTATTTCCAGGAAAGAATATATGTTGATGCTATTAAAATGACAGGGAAGACATTTAGCTTGTTGAGGCTGGCATGGCACGTGTGCTCCTGTCCCTCGAGCACAATGCGATTGCTTTGATGCTTTCTAAAGTAACAATACAATATGACCTTACAGAACTTACAGCTGTATTGACTGATTTGAAAACAAAGTAAAAATAATATGGCAGAAATCATTAACACTACTCTCAGAGGCAGTCCATAATACTGGACATAGTAAGCTTATGCCTGAGGAAAAAAAAAATGGAACCAGTACCATGTATTTTGCAAACACTCTTCAAATATTAGGTACTTCTGTCAGGTATGAGATTTATTATTTTCAGCATGTCTCATCAAGCCTGTCTAATGTGACGTAGCTGCAGCCATATGAATGCACAGCCTCTCTATTCAGAGAAAGGCTGCATTGGTCCCTGTTGTGCCAATACATTTATAGTAACATCCAGAGTGAATGAAATTGTGTGCAGGACATATTTCAGGTCTCTCGCAGTCCAAGGTTTGTGAGTTCATGTGAACGCTACACCGGTTTGTTTTGTTTCCCCCTGTTTGTTAAAATAACAAAGCAACCAACACACACACCACAAACCCTGTGCTGAGTGCAGGGTTTTCTACTGGATTTTCTTAGAAAGCATTGCAGAACTGGTGGGACAGACCTTCCTTTGTTATAACCAGTCGCAGCTCCCTCCGAGCCAGCAGAACTTCTCGGGGTTACTCAGCAGCTGAAGGCTTAGCACCAGGCTGGTACAGAACAGAGTCACAGAATAAATTAGATTGGAAAAGACCCCAGAGATCATCAACTCCAACCTTTGACTGATCCACCACCATTCAACTAGACCATGGCAATGAGTGTCATGTCCTCTTTCCTTAAACACCTTAGGGGCACTGACTCCACCACCTCCCTGGGCAGTCCATCCAATGCCTAGTCATCCTTCAGTGAAGAAATTCCTCACAATGTCCAAAACATATATGCATTCAAAAACATATGCCAGCAGTTGGGTGCCTGGAGTGCTTTAAGCTGACACCTACAGGAGTGTAATTTTCAGTACCTCCCATCTCTCACAACTTTCACCATCTGCATATTACCTGTGTTCAGCTACTCATCCTGGAAATCTTCAACAGCTGGCAGGGTTTGGGAGATCCCCAGCTCTGTGTGGTATCCTTCTCATGCCTCTCTTCTACAGGTCTGTCCCTTTCTAAAACCACCAATTTATGACTCCACGGGACACAGCAGTTCTGTATCAGTTTAATCACCTTTGCAGACATTCAATTAAACACAGCTGATGTAGATCAATAGCTTTTATTTGCATGCCAGGCCTCAGAAAAATGAATCACATAGAAACTAAACAACTATCTACTCACTTCCCCACTTCAGCCCTGCAAATATAATTGTAGAAGTTTGTTTCCTACTACTTCTTTGGTAGGGATGTTTCTCTCAGTACCCTGAAAGTTCTTCTTCATTAGTTCAAGACAAATGTGCCCAAGAAACCAGCTGAACATTCAAAGCTGGACAATAAAGCTTCTTGTCTGCATGTAGACCGTGCTGAAACCTTGACAGAACTGGGTGAGAAATGGTTGCTGTCACACTCTAAACTCAAACAGCTGATAAAACTTGGAGCACTCATGGGTCAAATCTCTTACCTGACTCATCTGGCCACAAAAGGCTAGGTAATGCTTTTTGAGAATCCTGCCTAGAAACTGCAGCCAGGTGCAAGGCTTGAGTTTCTGAGGTTACAAAGAGTCCCAGTTCCTTTTAGTATCTTTTAGTATGAAAAATATAGGACCCACCACACTTTACATTTGAAGTGTTCATTGTGTGCCAAAACTTATATCCTCAAACCCAGGAATAATAGGAAATTCTGCTGCTGCTGCCTCTAGAAAGCAAGTTCTTGGCAGTGTGATTCTCCTACACTTAAAAAGAAAGATACAGAATTCTAGGGAAGGTCCTTCACTTTGCACCACTGTTTGGGAGAGTGTCTGTGGCAGAAAAAAATCTGCCTGGTGTGTTCTGCTTTACTATTCAATAGTCAACAAAGACCTTTTGTTTTTCAGGCCAGTTTTTCCTCCCTCCATACAGCACGACTTCATGCTTCTGCCAAAGGCTCATCTTCAGGCCACCTCAGGGGCTCCAAGGAATCTCAAGAAGACCAAGATGTCAAATGCCACTGCCACAGGAAGGCAAGCAGAACACCTTCAGCAGACAGCTCATGTCCAGAGACAAGATCAAACTCCATTCAGGAATTTGCAGAGTCCTTTGAAAAGAAATTGCATCTCAAAAGCAAACGCTCAGTTTCTTTGGTAGGTAAGAAAAAGCCCAATGGAAGAAAAAAAAGCCCAACCAACCAAGTCAGTTTGTGTAATTGCTGTGACTTTGCTGAGGGAAGTGCAGAAATAAACTCAAACTGGAATTTCTCATATTATGTGGTCTCAAATTACTACAAGTTTCACAAACCAGGTTAAAGTTGTATCATCAGTGTGAGGATTCTTGATGTGGTGCTGCTGTCTAGGCTTATTCAGGAATATTTATCCTCAAAATGAGACACCACACTAGCCCATGTGGCAATGTTTTCAGAGGTTTCTGTACAAACCCAGGTTTCCTTCACTTCTGCAAGATGCAGCTCACTTTTTCACTGCTGCTGACCTGACTTAACCTATGTGGAGTTATGTGTAATACTGCCAGACACTGCAGTGTTTGAGAGGCTTCTCATCTGCCCCTCAGGACTCCATCCATCTGCTTTCTGCAGTGTCACCACACAGCTGCAGCAGCAGCTATTGCTGTAAAGAGCAGAACATGTTTTCATTTTCACTGAGAGGCCATGCAGGCAGCAGGGGATTCTCTGCCCATTTCATCCTTCTCCCCATCATTCTGTCCAGAGTCATGAGCATTTTGTCTGGTGTGTGTTGATGAAATAGCCAGCAACAACTTTTTGTCTAGACTTTAATAGATTTTTATTATGATACGTAGTATCTACTGTATCATGCAATGGAAGAAAGGGTAATAAATCCTAATTCATTTTTAAGTATCAGGAAAACCATATCAAATTGTCACTCCTTTCAAAAACTGTGCTTGAATAACACCTGACATTAGCATCAAATAACCACAGAAAGAAGTATCCTTTTTTCGTTCCAGGTTCTTGACACTGACAATTTGGATGGAAAAGTAATTTTCAACTCTCTTTGCACAGCAAAAGAGGGGGAAAATTTTCTTTTCAATAGGCAGCATAATTACATGATCAGTCAATACTTATAGTCCTTGCATCACCAATTGTCTAAGAATATGCACTGCTACACCATGATCAAAATTTCAAGTGCATTCCCTAATCTTCTTTTTCCCCTTCAGGAACTATTCAATTGCTTTCATTTGGAAATTTACACTGCCTCATGTGCCAGCAATCATCAGTGGTTTTCTGGTTTATCATTTATAATTTCTCAAAAATGCCTGTGGCTAGAAGACTGTGAGTGTGTAGTTGATGTATGATTAGGTATAATGAGCACAATGTATTAATTATGGCTTTAATTGTTTTAATCTGTTTTTCAAGTAGACCAAGTTGTTTCCATTCCCTCAGACACAATTGTAGTTTGGGAGATGTGAAGGACTTGTGAATCTCAAAGAACTGAGCAATAGGTCAGAGATCTGACAGGAAATGTAGGCTTAAACCTGTGTCTCCAGCTGGAGCATTTTATTTGCATTCAGAGCTCTGTGGATGCAATTCAAACCACCATAGTCAGACAGGTGAACAGTGTGGGAAAGGTGATAAATCTCCTTCCCTGCATATTGCTTGTCTCATAGAAATGTGTTCAGATCTTGTTTTCAGTGAAGTCTTTGTAGCAAGCACTGAGCAGCCTTCAGGGATGTAAAGATGGATCATATGAAAGGATAGAAACATGGAGTCTGGGCTGAAATCTCAGAGCCCCTCCTCTCTCCTTCTGCCTCCTGTCTGCTCTCCTTTTCAAGTCCACTGAGCCTGTGATCCTCCTATCATATACAGAGTAAAATCAAAGCATTGGAGTGTGTTGCTTTTTGCTGAGCTTTAGGGTGACTGGCTTGGGCCTTGAATTTGAGCCCATCATGGTAATGCTGATCTTGGTAAGGCATTAATGGAACATTTTGTTACTTAGTGAAATAAAATAATGAGCTTTTTTTTATTATTATAAAACAATAATAAAAAAAATCTTCTAGGAGTCTCTTTTAATTCCCTGCTATTTTTTCCCCTGCCTTTTAGCAACCTGAAGGTGCAAAAGAGAGACAAGAAAGAGAAAAATTGCATCTGAGAAAAAGCAAGTCTCATAAGAAAATGGGCGAGAAATCAGAGGCAAGGAGAGAGCGGGACGAAGCTGAAAGTTCAGAAGCACCTGCAAAACACAGCGAACAGTTTCCATCACAATCAAGCATTCAGAAAGGTTATGTATCCACAGGCAGCTAGAATGCATTGAGATAATCCATCTTAACACTCCCCCTGAAGAACAGAGAGAGCATTCCTCTTCTGTTTTGACTAGAAGAGGCCTATTAGCTAGAGTAACCCCTAAGTTGTAAAATGAAATTTCAACTGCATCACTGGCACTATGTTACTACCTTCCTTTCTTTACTTTTGTCACTAGAAGTATGACCTTTGTCATAGGAGTGTATCAGTTGCAAGATCCAAGTTAGAGATTAACCACCATTAGAGGATTTCAGGCACATTTAGCATTGCAGCAGGGCAGTGGTATATATGTTCCTTTAAGAGGAGGTCACTACCTATGTATTACAGAGCCATGCAAAGCCTTATGTTTCTTTTTTAATTGAAATCAGGCTTTTTGGTAGGTTTGGAAAGAAAAAGGTACGTATAAACAGCCAACTGCTTCCTGGCCCCAAATGACATTCATTCAGATTTGTCTTGAAAACAGGTATCTTTTTGCTCTGACAATCTTTCAGCTCCACATTTATGTAAGTAAGAGAAGAGAAGCCCATATTCTCTTCTACACCTCCCTGATGTCTGACTTCTCTCTGCTCTTCCTATCACTGTGCAGTGTGACTTGTTTCACTGGCATCTCCCAGCCCTCTCCCAGGTCCTCAGTCCCATTTCCCCAGTCACACAACTAGCTCTTTCTCCCAGCTTTGCCCTCATTACCTTGCTTCTTTTGTGGCCTTTCCTCTCTCCTTTTACTACTTTACTGCCTTGTAGCTACCAGCCTCTTCTGCTACATCTCTACTTTTACTTCATCAATATCTAAGCCTTGCTGAAAATTCTCCAATAAAGCCAGAGATGTTCTGTCTCTCATATTTCCATATAATCTCTTAGAGGGGTTGATGAGGCATTGCAATCCTTTTTCCTTTCCCAGAATTTGGGCCAAATTGGCTGTCTATGGTGAGCAGGACCTAGGAAAATGCAGATCCTCTGGCTGAGGATCTCCAGAACACAGATGTAAATCTCATCTCCATGTGCTCACAGGCTCAATCCCCCTGTGCTCCCCTCTCTTCAAAGTGCCAGTGTTCTCTGCAGATACAACCCTGCTCTCTTTGGGAATAGTCTTCCCAGGCCTAGTATGGAGAAAGCCTGATTTGGATAATACAGGAAGAGAAGAGTGAAGAGTGATGAAGTCATGAGCAAAAGTCAAGGTCTGATGGATATTCTTCCTGTGATTTTTCTGTAATTAACAAAAATCTTCCTAATTTACCTTAGAGCCTTACTTTTGAATATTCAGCCCTTTAAAAGCTTAGGGCATCCTTAAAACTTTGTAACACTTATATCCATTAAAGGATTGAGTTGTTCGGGTTTTCTCATTTAGGGCTTAGAGGAATATATAAGAAAATAATTGATCCCTTACTGATGCTTGTTAATTGCTTCTTGCCTGGTAACATATATTATAAACTAATAAATCTAATAATGGAAAAATGTTCCTATGCATTGTTCCTGTCCTTCCAAAACAGATTGAATTTTTATGAAGTTCTTCTGTCAGCCAAAACTTAAATACAGATGACTTTTCCTTTACAACTTTAATCTGAAGACTGCATTACAAAAGGTCTGGATAGAAATGAACGTGGCTGGCAATGTCTGGGCTCCTCAGATAAAACCTCTTACATACATCCTTTCAGGTAGCAGCCTGTCCCCACATCCTGGGAGAGCTGAATGCCATGGCTGCATCAGCTTTGCCTGGATTCCAGGCCAGCAGCTGCCTCCTCCTTTTTACAGGCAAGTTAATTCAACAGGCCCAGTAGAGTTTGCTTGTGTTCATCAAACGTGCTGGTTGTGCATCACTCCTGATGGATTGAAAACACCGAACAGAGCTAAAATAGGAAAGGCCTGTGTGGCTGCCCCTGGCTTGCTGGTTGCCACCTCCCTGAAAGCACAGAGAAACCTCTCTGTGCTCTGCCCAAAGAGCTGCCCTGTGCCCACCGACTCCCGTCTCTGATGGAGACTCTCTAAGTGCTTGTGTCTCTTCAACTGGCCCGCCAGCTCCATGTGTGACTCAGACAGGAGCTTGCACATAATGCCCTCTGTTCACCCAAAATGTTCCCTCTTGCTCTGTGGCATGGCTGATTAGAGCAGCAGCCCCTTACAGCTCAGTGCCTTCCAGTCTGAGGCAATGGTGTTACTTGGATGGACTGAATCTTGCGTGAGAGAAGGAAATCATTCTCCACAGACATTAACAAGTACTACAGAACAAATTGGGCATTTGGGAAGGCAGGTAGCCATCCAAAGAGGAATCTGATTGCAATGGCACATCTGATATTTCTGTCAGAAAGACTCCAGAGGGTTTCTGTTCTCACAGTAGGTCGCTAGTTCTGTGGCAGCTGACATAAAAAATAGTCACTGCCTTGATTCCATCCTGCATTCCCAGAGCAATGGGACTGGCTGCAGGCAGTTTCTGCACCAACACCCATTCCTGGGCAAACACTGTTTGCTTTTTCTGCCCTTTCCAAGAGCGGGATCCCTGCAAATAACATCAGAATCCAAAAGCTGGACATGAAGGAAGTCAGGCTTCAGTGGGAAGCGAAGACAAAGGGATGAAGAAATCAATATGCTCACTAATAAGAAATATTGAAACCATGAAACAGAAAAGGGAATGAGCAGGAAAACTGGTATGATTCAAAGGACCCATGAAGGAAATATTAAACTTGCTGTGTCTCACAAGACCATCGTCTGATAGAACCCTCATCCCTGTGCATTCTTCCAGCAGCTCAGGCTGGCTGGGAAGTGGCCTGTGGGAAGAGAGGATGTAGATACATACAAATCTCTCGAGAGCAAGAGACACACCCCAGTGTTTTCTAAGAGGGCTAAGAAGATATCAGTTGTGGTTACCTCATCTGTCAGGTGGGCATTCCCAAAGCAAAATATTTATGCTTGCTTCTCAGGTATTGCTTAACTGCAGCATGGTTTAGAGGATGAATTAAATTTTGAGTGCTGGTTAACTTATTGGTATATGTAATGCCATACCCCACACAGGTAAAATGATGTAACAGCTGTATTTATGCTCACAAGAGCCCTTTCTGGGGAAAAAAATAGGAAACTCTTAAATGCACAGATAAAATAAAAATGAAACAACTACAATGTATAACTGAAGAAGAATATAATGCCTATTAAAAAAACCTCCAAAATATTAAATACAAAAAATATGAAAATATTAATCAGCAGGTTTTTGTTCTTCAGCACAAAAATGGTACTTGGTTAAGCACAGCCCTGGATCTGAATTCACTCATTGTACATGTGAATAGTGTAAAACCACACAGAGAAATAATCAAGCTTGATAACTGAAATTATTCACATAGCAATGAATCATAATCACGGGACTTTGAGCTTATCACAGCTTTCTGCCAAAACTGTTGTAAGCAAAGAGGTTTTGAAATATTTCCAGAGAGATATTACAGCCAAAATCTAGTCATTCAATGAGAGAATTTAACACTGAGAAATACAACAATCTTCATAAATAATGCCCTGCCTGCAGTTGTTGTGCCAGAGCTTTAGGTAATTTTGTGAGAACAAATGTGAAAATAAACCCACTCATCATAGAAAACATTGCTCACAGCACGTTGATTTTAATTGTCATTGTTGTCTTAGATTGGCTTGATAGATGCTATTGCTCCTATTAGGAGGATCTCTCTGAATCCCAGCTCAGTATCTACAGTTCTTTGGAAAAAGATAATTTCTCTCAGCTGTATCTTGTCCCTGAGCTCAGATATAAAAAAAGAGAAAGAAATTATACAATTAGATATAAACCTCCTAGCTCCTTCCCAGTGATTAGGGAAGAAGTAAAAATATTTTTATAATTCCCTGGACAGTGTAAATCAAAACTGCACGCTTGCTACAGAAGGCATTGTTTGCAAGTTCTTTCACTTGCAATCATTAATCAGCTAGATAACCTTCACAGCCGTTCTCCAGCAGAGGGGGTCTGTCCGTACCAAGTGAGAACACACACGAGTTTGAGACTAAAATAGTTACAGTGCCACCAGGAGACAATCACCATCAACAGCACAGCTCCAACTGGTCCAATTTTGCCCTGTGTTGTTCATATACTACTTGTTATTTTATACATAAAGGAAATCAGAACACACTGAAAACCACGGCAGAGCTTAGTTGGTATTAGGGCTGCAGTATTCACCCATGGTCAGCAGAAAACGGTGATCCAGCTCTCTGCTAGTCCTTACAATAGGAAAAACAAAACTTTTCTTGCCCCAGGTTTATTCTGACAGAAGTTTCTGACTGAGAAACTTCTTCATTTTTATTCTTATAAGCAGCACAAGTACCTTTCACAGGCAACATAGCTGAAAGTAAGCCACATTTTAAGATACATTTCAAAACATCTCTGTTCATCAAATGCAACCTCTCCTCTACAACTGCTAAGGGACATGGGTGGCATGTCCAGCCCAGTTTTGGCTGGTCTGGTTCGGAGTCTGGGATGTGGGGAGCTTTGTGCTGCTTTGCTGGGCTGAGAACTCCCCTGGCAAAGGGCAGGGACACGCTCCTGTTGGTGGCTTTGCTGTGAGGGTACATCTGGCAGCGGGACAGAAATACACATCTGGGGAGCAGCAGGAGGCTCAAAGCACTCAGCTTCCTTGCACAGGTAAGCTAAGTTACAGTCCTTGGCCTCTCACTGCAATTGCAGAGGCAGCCTGGACTCATGAAGCCATATTGAGCTTCATTTTCCAAGCAAATATGCTAATTGCAGGGAGATTATTCGTGGCTGTGAAGTGACACATTGGCAGGATCGGTTCATATGTCCTGTCAAGTAAATGTGTGTATTTGCTCAGAAACAAAAAGCAGGTAAAACAACTGTATTTCATAACAGACACAAAGTCACAGGAAAGTCAAAACAAAGCTGATAGCAATTGAAAAAGGATGATTTGGCTGGGAACTTCAGCAGGAGACACAGAATTAGAATTGAGCTTTTTTCCTTTTTACACTTATCACTGGCTAACTAAATTAGTTGGTCATTTCATTTGTATTGT